GGAAGTTTTAATCAAATTTCTTATTTGTTCTTCTGCATCAGGATGCGACCTGACATAATTTGCACATTTGCTGATGTACCTAATAATTCATGCTGTATTTGTCAGGTGTTCAGAGTTACTACTTAATGGCAATAAATGTTATGGTTGTGAATGCCAGCAACTGTAATTATGCATGTACTCCTGTCAGAATGGTGACAGTGTTGGTTAATGTGTACTGGAACAGACTGGAGTGATCCAGAAACAAAACAAATTCTGTCCTGATCACTGAAATGACCAAAGCATTTATGACTTATATGGATTTCTTAAACAATGTCAGATTTTGAGAGAAGAGAATGAAAATGTGTTAGGATGTGTTTGCCTCATTACAGAGTTAATGGTGTTAAACTCTTAGAGAACAGGAGGCTTTGGCCGGAGAGTTGAGGAGGGGCCTGTAACGCAGCTATAGACCTGTGGCATCCTGCCAATAGCCACTAATAGAGCCATGAAGCAATTACCAGGACACACTGAGAGAGGGGAGTGGAGGGAAGGATAGATTATGGGACAGATAAATACAAGAATGGAGGATAGGATTAATGATATGTTGAGTGGGAGGATGGAAAGAAAGAAAAAAGGAATGTAAAATTCATTAGCACAACAAAAAAGTGATGGAGGGAAATGGGCTTTGTGCTATTTGATATGACCATTAACTGATAATCATTTTGAAAGAGAGAAGAGACTGCTGCATCTCGACCTGCAGATTAGATAGATGGTCTGTACTGCCTGACTAACTCCCCTGTGGTCCCTAAATCTGGTGGTGGGGGGGGGCGTTGTGAACGTGTGTGTGTGTGCGTGCATGTGTGTGTGTTGTCCTACTTAATATGTTTACAAAATGTTTTGTTTCTCTCTTGGGAAAAACTGTTGGACTGAATCACTGCTATGTAAATCTGCTTTACCATTTGCCATCTACAAAGTACATTTATCAGCTGAGGTGTTTTTTTTATTTTTTTTTTTTTTATTTCTTCTTCACTTGCTTTCAGGAAGATGTATTATAGATCAGTACAGCATATGTGTCTGTGTGAGTCAGTGTGCATTCACATTCATATGTACTTATTCAAACCAGCCAGAGGACTTTGAATATGCAAAGTGGTACCAAATGTTTTGTGGCTTATCAGTCTTTAAACTTGCCAGCTGCATGCGTTTCGTTCCTGCAATCACAGTACAGCCTTCCTCCAAATGGATATGAAAACTACAGGATTTAACTAAAAAAAAAAGATCATGCTTGCTGAGAAGATAAGTCAAAAATGTTTGATTTGAGATTAAATGCATCAGTTATTTGCAGTTTTGTGGTGTTCCTAGTCTTAATTATCTTGACATAGCTTATCAAAACTGCTTATTGAATTGTATATTTGTCATTTAAAAGCTTTTGCTATATAAAACAACGTGTTTAAGTTTGAAAAAGCCCCAGTTTGGTAAGTGATACAATTGGTAGATAAGTGCAGGAAAATAAAGGAGACAGGTGAAATGATTGCACTCTTTAGATCTTAAAATAGGAACGGCTTACTTGATAAGCTGGATGATTTATAATTTATATGCATTAATGCTTGGGGGAGGGTTTTTTGTTTGTTTTTTTTCTTTTCTCCTCCTTTCTTTCTTCCCCCATCCTCCTCTGACCGTCCTTTTCCCGATGAGCATATACTCTGTATTTGTGTAGGTGGCTGTTTATGTGTTTGGTGCCTACATGTCTGCAGGGGAACCAGTGAAAGGGAAAATTCCACAGAGAAAAAAATACTACTTTGGAGTGAGTCTACTGCTGTTTACAGTCATGATAAATAAATGATAATTGACTGAATTTCCTCTTT